TTTTTTGAGAGTTTTTCTCTTTAGAATCGAATGTAACAATGTTTAAAGCATGTAATTTATACAGTGCAAATATTATCATTCTTACATATTAATCGTGAGATTTTATAAATTTCTTATAATTCAGTAAGTGTATCTTGTAATTGATATATTTTTTATATCTTTCTCCAGAACTCCCTGATAAGTACTTAATTGGAATACTGCCACTTGTTTTCTAATGTCAGTTCTCAGTTCACGCTCAATGCATCAAGCTCTTTCTACTCCGTGTCCACCAAATGTGGGGCAGATCTAGATAACTCCTCAAATTTTCGCCCATATTCGGTAAGCATCATGTTTCCTTGCTTCAGCCCAAGAAACTTTGCTTCCTTCTTGTCTCTTAAAGTAGTTGGAAAATACTTTTGAAGTACTATCTCTTTGAACTATGCCAATGTAAGGTTACATTGTTGCTCTTCGGTGCAGGATCTAGTAGTCATTTCCCACCAATGACTTGCTCCCTTCTCCATCATAAATACCGCACAAACAAAGGATTTTTTGTGCATCAGTGTGTTCCATAAATCTGAAGATAAACTCAAGATGGTGAAGCCATTCTTCAACAGCTAGTGGATCGGAGCCACCTTCAAACACGGGTGGGTACATCTTACGAAATTGTTCTATAATTGAAAAGGTTCCTGGCCTGCCTCATGGTTGTTGAGGTGGTTGCTGTTGTGACATCTCTCACATAGCAGTCAGTAACTCTTGTGCTAAGTTGATGCCATCTAAACCTTAAATGTGGGGATCGTATATTAGACGTCATTCAAGTCAATTCAACTATCTTGGTATAGTTGACGACGATAAAATAATATTGTTTCTGTTCACTATATTCCCATTATTTTCACTAAGATTTGATTAAATGGTCTTTATAATTTTTTTTTCGCCTTTTTTGGGTTTGCAATGTTGTTTTTCATTTTATTGATTGAATAACATGCAACTGAAAAGGCTTCCAGGTGAGGAGGGGGGGGGGGGGGGTTTAAATCCCAAGCTCGCTTTATACAGTTTAAGTCTTTTTGACAAAACCTTTCAGTCTTGCGAATACATAAATCAAGAAAACTCAAATAATAAGTTTCCCCATTAGTATTATTTTTTTTTTTGTTGTTGTTTTTCTTTTTGTCATTTAATTTGAAAATAACTGAACTGATGTCAATCTAAATACATGTATATAGTGCATAATTAAATATATTCACTCAAAAGATATACACATGAAAATTATAAACATGTGATTCTGCAATAAATAGTACATATAAAACAACTTTATCTAATTTATTAAAATTTCAACATCCAATATAATAAATTCATAATTATAATCTTTTGCACTATAGAAAAAAAAAATCCAAAACTCACTAAACGAACATTTAAAGCTAACAAAATAATTTCATAACTTAGATCATCAGTTACAAGTTGATCACGCTGGTCCAGATGTCGTGTGGGTCAAAATTTATTTAACTTTAACATATAAAGAAATCTAGAATTTTAATTTTACAAAGTCTGCAGGAAAGATTGACTGGAGTTGAGATATTTTATAAGAATTTAAACTAAACTTGTATTATTAACATTATTTAATACCTATCTCAGTGCACCGTAGGTTTGGTTTAGCAATTACACATATATTGAACATTCAAAAATCACTAGATAGAAAATTTTAGGTCTAATCATAAGTCAATTATAACCAGGAGAACTTAATGTTGACATGATGTGTAATAGCATTTCCTAAACAGAAATGAGAAGTACTTGGGTAATGGTCAAAAAATTGATTGTAGGCATTTAACAAGTAATAGTGTTAAATCGTGTTAAAATATTATGCTCACTATATACACCGTGTTAATTGCATAATTGAAAAATTATGCTCATAATTTAAAATTTGAGCAGTAATTTCCTAAACTTCTAATTGAATACACCATGCAATCATCTAATAGATGTATCATATTTATTAGATATAAATAATATCTAGATGGTCAACAAGAAGAGTGATGGGGTCCCATATGTTACCCTAATTAACATTCAGAAATATAAAAAATTTCAGTTCATACATACATGTGTTTGTGTGCGTGTGTGTGTGAAGTAGTGATTGTTCTAGAATAAGCAACTTATTTTTATAAAGATCATATCTCTTCAAGGGATTAGATCATATTTTTTTTTTCAAGATATGTGTTGCTTTGAGAGCACAAGAATATATAATTATTATCATTTTTTTCAAAATGACAATTTACTATTGCATCTTCAAGAGCAATAGGCAGAAGAGGCAATAGGCTAATACCCTTCTGAAGTACTGAAAATATGATATCTTACTCTTCAAGAAAAAGTTAATATTCTTTTAAAATATTAATAATATTTTGCTATTTCAAAAGAAACAATAAATTATTATTTAAAAGCATTATGTTTTCTAGCAAAATGTTATATTTGCAAAGTTAAGCTTTTTGGGAGCAACAATATAATAGGTTATCAATTTAAAATTTACAAAAGAACATCTGAAAATCTTTAATCTGGTTAAAGACACATAGAGTATACAATAATCATCATAAACACGTATATTTTACAAACATAAAGAAGAAAAAATTAAACCAAAAAGTACATAGTTTTCCCGTTAATCTAATTTTTATAGATGCATACAGTGTAGATAAACCTAAAGAATATTTTTAATTTAATGTAAAAACTAAAGCAAAGAAGTATATAATTCACATTGCTGTAGATGATTTGCAAACATGGTTTCATCATTAAATTTATGTAAAAATGAAATAATTAGGGCAAAGGGACAAAAATTGTCATTATTAAAGCAATCATCACGGTTTCAAGATATATGCATAACTACACAAAAAAATGATTGCGTGTATTTCGAGAAACGAGAGTTTAGCATTAACATAATTCTGGACAACTACGGATGCATCTATTGTGACGTGATCATCCATTACATATGTACAATCGTCGGTTCATCTGTGATACGAAGATGATTAGAATTGGGATCTCTTTTGAAAGGCAAATGAAGTAATGATGTCCTAATCTTTTCTTAGAGAATACAATTTTTGAATTATTTGAAAAACCAAGCTATCGTGCTACTGTTATAAATTAGAAATAAAAATAAAGAGAAGTCAGAAGTCTTGTATGTGCTTTATTGAGAACTAAAATCCTCATATTCTTAAGGAATAATTAGGGTGATAATGGATACAACAGTGACAATAATTATGACTATAAGGGTATAATAGTCATTTACAAATAAACATATCATCTACAACAGTACTGAGAATTCTAAATAAACGTTTTCAGTCATCTCCAAATTCGTTTGATATTATATTCAATGATATTATTTTCTTTAAGTTGAAATAAGTAACTCAAAGGTAAGCACAATTAGGTTCTCATTTCTTATTGTGATTTAACATTATTTTGTCTTCTTTACGAGATGTTTTTGCAGTGGAGATCACATCATGGTCGCTTATCACACAATCATTGAAAAATGGATAGAGTCGCTTAATTTGCCTGTTCAAATGACTCGAAACCATGGTTTGTAGAAAGTCAAACAGCATGATATTGGGTATTTTGGTCCCTAGCAAACCTCAAGGTCTAAGATGACTAAGACCGTAAATTACTCTAATCCAATTACACGACCCAAAATTGTTGCACATATTCTAATGAAAAGCTAAAAAAGCTAAAAAAATCTCAATTAATCTTGGTGGTCAGAGTCATTGATACACTGTTGACACACTTTGAATTATGCTAGCAGTTTTTGGAGGAAAAAGGTGGCTGCAGTCATTTTTTTGCTTGCTTCTCTTTCTCTTTTTTTTTTTCATTGCCAAGCAAGCCGGGATTTAGCCAGTAATTTGGACCTGTCCGTGTAGCAGGACTGAAAATACCTCACCTTATTTTCTTCCCGATTTTCAAGCCCTAAAATTTCTTCAATCATCGCTCTTCGTCGAATATAATTATCCACTTGCCAAAGAAGAAAAACCGATGTGTTTTTTCAACCAAGATTAGATGCTACTCTTTACTTGGTGTTTCCTTGCACGTTGCAAAGTGGGAAATTTCACTTTCTTGATGGTTTTCCATCTACATCAACGGCTCATTATTGAACTCTTTTGCCACCTAGGCCATATTGGTAATCAAGCTATAAACTACGTTTTTTATTCAAGCGATACCTAAAGATTGGTGGTTGCCAAAGAGGAATTTTATGCTATATTGGAGGTACTTACTTGTTTATTGCTCCGCCAGAAAGGTTCAAGCTTCTTGTTATGTGTATTATCCTATTTGGCGTTTTGACTCCTGGAAGTATATTCTTACTGCAAATATGGTGCAGCCCGTCAAACAGTTATGTATCTTACTTTATTTGAAAATTCTCTTACTTTATAGTTCATATGTACATGATTTCTACAAATTTAGGTCTCGTTTGGTACACATTAATGTTAAAATGAGAATGAAAAATATAGTCGTTTCAGACTTCACACAAGAGATAAAAAATCAAATATAATGTCTTGATGTGATGAATAATGATCATATTTTTCATTTTAATGGATAAATAATGAAGAACAATCGGGGGCTAAATATAGCATTATGTGGTACATTACACATTGTATTTTCCTACCTTTATGTCTATTCCTCTTTTCTTTAAAAAAGTCAAATTGTACCCAATCATTGTACGCGACATTCCATAGGCACGTGATTCCTCGGTGGTCATATTCTTATGTAGAATTATGCCACTTGTACATAAAAATAGTATATAAAAGATTACATAACATGATGTAGAGTAAAAACATTGAATAAAAAAGTTGACTATATTTTAAATTGACAAATGATAAAATAACATATGATATTACGTAACACATTAAATAAAATTTGATGTACATGTAGCAAGATACTTTTAGTTATATCCCTATACAATAAAATAGTGACCTCCCTATGACACCGTTCCTAAGAATGTGCACACAATTACTGTTTGCCTCATTATTTTGCCATGCCGCCTCGTCCATTTCCCCAAACAAACCCATCATTTCTTCTTCTCTCTTCTCTATGACGTTCTCTTCCACAATTCTCTCTATATGCTGTTGAAGTAGAGATAGCTGAGGCTTTAGGGGTTGGATCCATTAGAATGGATGACATTACCGATTGTAAATTTTATACAGTAGGATTTTAGTTTTTCAATTTTCTTTTGCAAAAATTAAAACTGTTAAAATAAATTTTCTTTGCCATTCTACTCGGCTCAAAATTTCATTCCTAGCTGGGAAAAGGCCGACAACAGCTACAGGCTGGCAAAAGGGATGACTGCAAAGTCTAGCAAGGGATATGAAGAAATGCAATGGGCAACTAAAGCCCAACATCTAGGCAGCATACCCCGCAAGATGACGTTCATGACGGTGGGAGCATTCACCAAGGTTGTGTCTAATCTGTTCAACACAACTACCGTGAACAACATCAACACTCTCCTCCATCTTGTCCGATCCCACCCACCAGCCTGCCTCTCCTTACCGTTAGTAATCACATGTACACTTCAGTCTTTCTCACAATTAACTAATATTTCTGATTTTTCATAATTTTGTTTGACGATCTTAGCATGAATGAGAAACGTTGATTAGAAGTGGTTTGCAGGCTACAATTTATAATGATGTTTTGATAATTTGTTTCTTTTGAGTGTCATTTGTTACTTGGAGTTGTAGGCAGTGAATGGTCGTGGTGCAAAAGACTCGCTGGAATGGGCTTATAGAGGAGAAGGCACTTTCAATCTGGTTATTGCTTATTGTGGAAAATGTCCTAATTTTATATGTTTTCTTCTTTTCTTTTTTACCCTTACCTTTTATTGAATTAACTAATTTTGGGTTTCATTTTTCTTACCCTGTAAAGTTTAAGATCTCTCTTTTGATATAGTGTACAAATACTTGTTTTAACACTTCAATTTTATGAGAGAAAGGCCCTTTTAGTTAAATTTTTAATACTTCCTTGATTAGGAAAATCTGATTCACTTCTAAATTTTTATACAGATGTTTAGTTCCCCCCCCCCCCCAACAACAAATTATCATTCAAGTAATTATAATTATTTATTCATTATTAACCAAACTGGGCCTAGACTTACCTGAGGAAGTGGTTTTCCGGAGTTGCCTTCTTTTGAACTACTCTGGTGCATTATGAATATTTTTTGGGAGAAAGTGTAAATGAAAAAAAAGAATGCTCCATGTTTCAAATATCGAATGGAGGCTGTTGTGAAAATTTGATAAATGACTTGATCACATTAATGGAGGCCAAAGATCTTCTAAGCACCAGATTGTTTCAACTGAGGGAGTCTTTTTGTTGGATTGAAGACCAAGTGAAATTACATTATACTCTAAAACACAAGTATGGAACACATAAAAAGAATTTTCAATTGTAAATTTGTGGTATGAGTAAATAGTTTAGGTATACTAATCTCTATATTCCAAAGTTTTATTTTTGGCATAAATAGAATTTTTTTAACTAAGGTGTCATATCCACCTGTAGAAGTGCCTTTACATGGGTATAAGCGATAAAGAGAAATACCATTTGAAGAAAAAATTGCTATCACGGTCGATAGAAGAGAATTGATAGGTAAAGTTTGTTAATTTCATGTTTATTATTTTAAGGTTCACATAGTTTCTTGGAGCTGTAGAATTTTGAATTGTAAAAAGGAAAGGCTTTGGTTAAAAATGCATCATTTTGTGGAAATGGGGTAGTGGTTTATGTTTAAAGAGGTGCTAATTTCATTTTCATACATTATTCCGCTTACAGCAATGTATTGCTCATGATCCTTCAGTTACTTTTCACATTAGAACGCTAAAGATACATCGCATTTTTGTCAGTTTCAATATGGTAAAATGAGTTCTAAATTGTTGTTAATATTTTGTATTTTACATAGGATTGTGATGGATCATTTTATTAAGAGCCTGTGGAAAGATGACTGGTGACTCACATTACTGAAAAGGGTTGACTTTCAGACTGGAAAGAAACTTCTTATGAACTTGTGTCTATCTGATGACTTTGATATGTTTCAGAATTTGCTTGTCACCGATGGATCCTGTATGACAGACCATCAAATGGGTTTTCATGGTCATCCTTTAGAGATTCAAGTAATTTTTTTGTTCTCTACCCATTTTAGAACTATTCAGCTCTTGATTTCGTAGTTATCTAATATGACTTTGAGGTGCTAATTCTCGACTTGCTCTTCTATAAACTGCAAGAAAGAATCGAAATCGTAATATGAATTCTGTTATGTTGTAAGTGTTAGATTTTATGACTCAAATATGGTTAGGAGTCTTGTGAGATTGCGTATTTGATTTTTACTTGGAAATGAAATCCTCTCTCGATCGAAGTTCTATGCGCAATTGTAACATAATTTTAACGGATTTTCTTACATTTAGGACTCTTTCGGGGTTTGAAACGTGACCTATAAATACAAAGCTCCTCTGTTAGTTTTATTTAAGTATTATTGTTGTGTCTGTAATTTCTCTCCATATTGTCAGTTAATATATATCGTTCCTCTGCGATTAATTCTCTTTGTTCTTCTTTACTTTTAATCTTGTTTCTTGTTGTGATCTTTATTATTTCATATTGTGTCATTAATCTCATTCATTACAATTCCTCCGGGTCCAAAAGTGTACCTTTTGGGGAATTGGCTATTTTTTTTAAATTGATCTGTAGTTTTTGTGAGATATTGTTGCCTTAATAGAGAAATATGGAGTTCATTGGTAAGGTCGATGTCCTTTTTGATATGTTAAACATTTTGTATATATCAACTAAGATGAGGAACCAAGGTTCAAATTCTTTATGAGTTCTTTAAAAGTTGTCTATATAAAGTATAGACGTTCCCACCTCACGAAGAGAATAAGTTTCTTCCACCTTTAGCTGTCCCAAGTACCTGAAACATACGCTACAGCTACACTCATGAGAAGAACACATTGATTTCAGAAAGAATGATAAAATAAACACTGAAATGAGATCCCATCTGCCCATATCAACTTTCCACATCTTCATCAGCTCATATTCACTACCTTTCCTAAATATGCTATCCAATCAGGCTCAAAATCTGTTTTGCTCTCTGTGCGTGTGTAATGGGACAGCATACACTGTAAGTAATAGCTTTATATTGAATTGCTTAACTAATTTCAATTTTATGAATTGCCCAAATGTAAAAATGATCTTTTCTGCCATATGATTTGTGAATCCCGCACGAGTCATATCTACTAGAAATAAACTGACTAGACGAAAGATGGTTCAACCACTGTAGGTAAAATAGGATTCTGTATTATACCTGTATTAAAAAACTATGGATTTCCTATTACTAACTTTTCTAGACTATATGTTAAGGAGATGTGCTTCTTATGAAGAGAAGGGTTACAACGCAGCAAGGAATTCCAATCCTTAGTGTATTTAGATGCTTAAGTTTAATGTAATTGATACTTAACTTCAATAATTTTTTTTATATTACTGTTATTATGTAGCCAACTCACTAGTTTATCATACAACTGTTAGATACATTACAAACTCTTTGTTACATTTCTTCACATTGTGTTCTTTCATTTCTTCATTCCAAACTACACACGTATTTGATAAAATAGTGAGAAAATTAAATTTCTTTGTATATTGCTGTTGTCCAGATGTCTTGTATTCTCATCCGACACTTAATATAGAAAATCATTTGATGGCGATACGTATGAATGTTTTGGTAAAAAAATGTTGCCAGTCAGACGAGGATCATACATGGTTATATTAGAACTGAGATTTAAGCATTACTATATATTTAAGCATAAATATTAATTTCACCTACTTGGATGCCCCTCAGTTTCCATTTGCAGGTCTCTCCTTCACACTTTTAGCACATACTCCCTATCATTCGACTTGATGGCATCCAATGCAACACGTCTTTAGAGAATTTTTACCACGGAATATCTGCTTTTCAACTATAGAATCGTCCCCTATTTGATCTACGACTTTGCTATTTATCAAAATGCGACATTCTCATTTTGAACGATTAACAAAAACAAACCCAGATTAGAGAATTTTAGCATCAGAACCCAAAAAAAAAAAAAAAGAGATATATACATATATATATTTAAAAGGGCGGAAAAAGTTCAACATGAATCAGTTACGATTTAGAATTTTACAAATTTTGGTAGCAGCGAATAGATATTTTAGTTAACAATAGTTCTATATTTTCATCAATAATTCTTGATACCACACAAAAATGCCGAATTACCTCACCAATTTCGAAATCAGGAAATGAGTCCGCCGTTGTAAGAGTTTTGCTAGAAATTTCCGGGGGGATATGGAAATCTCGGGCCTATGTGGCCTAGAATAAGAGGCATTAACCCCGCTGTAATATTCATAAAGAGAAATCTGGCGGATCCTTGTAAAAGATGAAGAATCTTATAGATTGTATCTATACCATAGCGTTCAAACAATCAGGTGAGATTCACAATTTTTTGATCAAGAGGTCAATATATAATCAAACCCAAGAAAGCCAAATAAATCAAAGTTTTAGATTTGACGCAAAAATAATTAATCAAGCAACCAATCGATCACCTATGATATATTGACCTCTTGATCACAAGATTTGTAAATTTCACCTGGTTGTTTGAACGGCACAAGAATTAGTCTTGATAAGTTCAATAAATTGCTCAATGAAGAACAAAAGAAAAGAAAGCAAACTTGCCTTTGATTAATCTCTCAACAATGTCTAAGTTGTTTACAATGAATGGGATGAAATTTATTTATAGTAAACCCAAAAAACCTAGTTAAAAATGAAAAGGAAACCTAAAAGATTACAGAGATACCCAAAAAAATAAAATTCTAACTAAAATAAAAAATCTCGCAAATTTGGAAAATTCGTCACAATTTTACATCTGCCTCCTATGCTTTCACTGAAAATGGCTATAGGTCGCATAGTTGCTTGATTGACTGCCTTCCTTTGTTGCTCGAATCACATTGCTCCAACCCGTTTCCTCACTCGAGCCTAAAACTTGTTCTTTGGCATGTTAACCTCAACCCTTTGGACTCCGTGGCTTGGATCACATCGGTACCACTATTTGTTTCTAGAATATAGGAATTATTTACTGATTAATTGTGATATTATCATTTTTAATTATTTGACTATTTTGCGATTTCTACCTCTTTTGTGTTGATTATTCTTTTAGAGTTATCACCTAAACTTTATCTATTCGATCATTCCTATGATCTAAAATCACGAATCTCACGAAACCCTAGAAATCTAGAATGGTGTATGATAAGTGTATTTTATACACTTAATCGGTGCCTGAAATAACGATATTTGATGGTTCGTTTGACAAAAGATATCCTAAATTTTTGTATTTTATGTTTAATAGGTAAAACTTTATGAATGAAAAAGGAGTTGAAGGAAAGAAGCAAAAATATCAAAATCCAAAGTACGGGGATTAAATTGGCTATTGGATGGAAGTTGGGGATCAAATTCCGCACTTTGCTAGGCTAATTCCTCTGTTGTATTGGATGAAGATGAAACCGTTAATTATTTATTTTTAATTCAAGAAACGTAATTTAGTTGAATTCATGAAATTTTTTATTAATCTTGCATGCCTAATTTTATTATTTGATTGCTTGATCACCAATTGAATATATAGTTGTTTGTTGTAGTATTGGGAAACTCACAATAGGTTTAGAACACTACTTGATTAACACATATACAATAAATTTTAGGAATAAAATTTATCAAGTGTGCATTCTTCAGATAATTGTGAAATTGAATACGTTCTATTCATTCGAATTCGGACTATGAATAGATTCGGGTTGTGACTAGAATAAATTTAATATGTTTTAGAAAAGAAAATTAATTAGAATT